CCTCACCACCCGGGCTTCCACTTCTAATCGCTACTTATGCTAATGCTTTTCCAGATTTTCTTGGTTGGGGGGATGGGGGGCTTTGTATGGGGGGGGAAAGATTATATGGGATAACCAGACCAATCCGTTGGGGAATGTTAAGACAGTGAAGAAATGCATAATTTGGAAATATTTTTGGGGATTCCTTAACATGATGATTCAGAGGGTATCAGAGAGAGGGAATAGTACTTATTGCTCTGTAAGACTAGAGTTTGACTTTGGTCTTTTTTGATAAATTATTATTTTTTATTTCTATTTTATTTGTAATGATCTTTATAGAATGATTCTTATTATCAGAATATTAAGAGTTAATACTTTACAAAGCTCCTAGAGAGGCTAGAGTCTATAAGACTGCACTTACTGCTCTGAAGGACTAAAGTTCGACTCCGCTCAGATATTTTTTCACTTTTTTTGATTAATTATTTTTTTTTTAATTTTTTATTTGTGGAGATCTTTAAAGAATGATTCTTAGTATCAGATTAATATAAGTATATGCTTTACAGAGCTAGCTTCTAAAAACTGCACTCCCCTCATTTTATTGTCTCTTGTGATTAATTATTTTTCTCAATTTTTTGTTTTTTTGGTATTTGTTGGATCGTGGGGCTTTTTGAGCTCAAGTTTCGTGCCTGGCTTCGTGTTCTGGGGGTTTTGTGCCGTGCTTTTGCCTAAGTGCCACCAAATGTAAATCGATTCGACGAGTGCCAGTGCGAGTGGAGTGCGAATGCGGTGCGGTGCGTTTTTATGAATTCGGCACGCGTCTGCGTGCGCATTTTGGTTTGCTCCGTGTCCGTGTGTCCGTCTCGGTGTCCGTTGTGTCCGCGCTGCCTGTGGCAAACAGTATCAAGCAACCCAGTAGCCACCAAAAAAAAAACATGCCCCTCCACACCTCCAAAAAAAAAAAAATCAAAATAAGAACAACATGAAACACACGACGGTGTCATAAACAATTTTCAGCCTTTTTCCAGTCGCTCATTTGTTGTGGATTTCTGTTTTTTTCGGATTTCTGATATTCAGATTTTGTTGAAAAAGTGCATTTTGCAGATCACATCCAGCTGTTGAATATTTTGCAACTGTGAACTGATTCCTACCCTTTGGTTCTGAAGTGTCTAGTGTAATTGAAAACTAATTGCGTTTCTCACGCCCGTTTTTCACACGCATTTCGGTTTGTTTGGAAATCAATTTACCATCTGAATAGTTTATGATCGTTTTCCCTCCCTCCCTCCAAAGCCCATAAACTTGTTTGGTAAATTGGCGTGTGAAGTACTTGGGCACGTATACCAACTATTTCGATTCCGAGATCCATTCCCGTAGATGATGATGATGATTCTGTAATTCATTTGAGAGGATGGCTGTGTCTTCCCGGGAGAAGGAGCTCTATCGTCTATCAGAGAGGTTACTTGGATCAATTTGTTGCGATTCGAAACAAACGCCATTGATTGTCCGAGATTCTGGAATTTGCAGCAATTATTTTTTCTCCACCCGACTCGAGATTGGATGGTGATGATGATGTCAGAGAGAATGCAGATTTCTGATTTCATTTGGCCGATAAAGAAAGCTCCAATGAAGGCCTATGATCTCATGCAAATGCATTTGGCTTTTGGGCCAACTTGTTTACTGTTGCGAGCCAACGTGCGACAGTTTTTGGCGGCAAAGCCAACTTGTCACTAAAGTTTTCAGACTTGCAGAGTTGCAGGCACTTGTTGCACGACTCTAGTTCTTTAAGGTTTAAAAACAGAAAACTAGTTGACACGTGCGTGGGCACTTGTAGATACAGAAAGACATTCGAATGGCATTGAATGGCAAGGGGGTTTCTTAAAGTCTACCATGCAATGAGATCACTAATAAATATTCATAGTACTTACATTCAAAAATCACTGCACTCTGAGATTCCTGCAAAGAAATGAAAAAAAAAAAATTAATTAAAATATATATATATTTTAAAAACCTGAAAGGATAAAGAGCCTACAGACACGCACTACTCTCAGGGTGTCCTGCAAATCCTTCAGCAGAGGCACAGTCAGCAGTGCGTGTGCGTGTTTGTTGGTTTGGGGGATATACATGGATCCAAAACAGGATGCACATCAATACACCCATACAGAGCATGAAGGCATAAAGGAATACAGCCATACTGGCATACAGGCATACTGGCATACAGGAATTGGTATTGAATCATTGAATCGAATTGAATACGTGCCAGCACGAATCCTGAATCCAGAATCCTGAATCCAACACATCCCATCCCCATCACATCACAGGATCTGAGCGATGACTACGTGTTGCTGTTTTGTATTAGCAAGATGTCAATGTGTGTTTGCGGAATTATGTACAAACATACGCATTCGTATTCGTATTCGGATTCGGGAGTCACATCCGTATCCGTAGAAATGCCAATGTCCTCAGATCTCAGTCCTCAGACCTCAGTCCTCAGTCCTCAGACCTTTTTTTAACGTTGTCCGCGTTAAAGGCATCAAATGTTGTCAAAAAAAAAAAATAGATAGATAGATAGATAGATAGATGGATAGCCAGGCTTTCTTTTTTGCCCAAAATTGACATCAGTTGCTGATTTTTAATTAAAAATTTGCGACGTGTGAAGTTGATTTCAATTTGGAGCCCGCCAAACTGACAGACAGATGAACACACTGATACACAGCGATGGAAGCCCTCTGTTAGGACATGGAAGATGTCCTCCGACCCTTCACGTCCGCTTCTCTGACCACACCAAGGGGGTTAGAGGCTGGGGGTTAGAGGGTTAGGGGTTTAGGACCCGCCCTAGTTGATGCCTGGTGACAGCCTGGAACAGCAGTCATCACATGTCCGCCAAATGCCAGGGAATGAATGCCTCGGAACGGGGATTGCTATTGCTATTTGGTGTTTCGTATTGGACATTTCGGGTTATAGGTTTTAGGGGTTTTAGGGGGGGGGGTTTCTTTTTTCTATGGGTGGATAAGGGGGGCATGGCTTCATAAATATAGATTAGCAAATCGAAATGGGGAAATAGAGCGTCATATTATTGCGCGGCTGGCGAGTGATGGGATAATCTGGCAAAATGCATTTCAAACAGACTGATTTTTGTTGGCTTTTCCAACACAGTTTTTAGGACATGAATGAACATGAATAAATCAATTTTAGAGAGACCAGATATTTGACAAATTATTTAATTACTGGAGTTAGAGGTTCTGGATGAAAAAGCTGGTTATTTTGATAATTAAATTAGTTAATTGTTTAAATATTAAATTAACTAAGCTAACCAAATATTAATGCCTTTTTTTTGGAAGAGGTATGAGTACTTAAAGTATCATAAATATACCAAAATAGTTGTTTAAATTTGTCTTTATTTTTCGAATCGAAATCGAGGGCACTTCCTCATGAGGAGCTGCGGGTGTCAAAGTCATTGCTTTATATAATACCGTTACCGTTATGACATTAACCTTATCGGACAGACCAGATACAAGGGCCATACGTAGCACATACATATATATGTATATACATAGTAGGTACTTGACATTCAGATTGAGGGTTCAGAGTGAGGGGGAGACTCACTCACTTAAGAAAAAAAAAGAAAACGAAAGAAAAGAAAAACCCAAGGGAATGAGTTACGCTCTGTGGACAGTTTTTACGACCGATACGCGACCCAGAGACACACGCACTTTTCGTGGCTATTAACAAGTAATAATGCCAGCAACAACAAAACAATAAGATATAGAACCATCAACAACAACAGCAACAGCAAACAGAAGCAACAACAATGGGCCATAAACTTGAGTGCAACAGTTAGAAAAAGTCGCGGTCGCGATGCCACACACTTGAACTCATAAATTCCAAGAACCCGCAGATAACCTATATATGTTTATATATATACATACATATATATTTATGTGTCTATATGTATATATATATATATATTGTATATATTTTTGTGTATTTAAACACACTCATTTATATGCCCTCCTCCCTCAAGCCCTTTAGTCTTGTATAAATAAACACTTGTGCGTGTCTGTCGGTTGCTTCCCCCAATAATACATTTCCATATGTGTTTGCTACGCTTAAGTAAAGTGCAACAGCAGCAACATTAACAACAACAACAACTGCCACATAAAAATCAACAACAACAACTGCAACATTAAGAGCAACAGCAACAAGTTGTTGCCTTCAGTTGCCGCTGATTATGACAACACCGATGACTGATGTACGATCTACAGATATATCTACCGAGTCTGCTTGATATAACCATTAAAAGAATCCCTCAGTTACAGTGGAATGTATCTCAGAGATACCATCTTGATGGAGGGCTTCGCTTTCGAGACAACTTGCCCCACTGTCACTAGGCCCCAGCATTAATATTGTTAACGTGGCCCAGAACCGGTATTTATTTGTTGTTATTCAAGGCAAGGGAGACAAAGGGGGGTGGAGGGGAGAAAAGGGCCGGTAACGGACAAGCGGACACGCGGACGCACGGACAGAAGAACAGCTGCTGCTGCTGCACAAATACGAACAAAAAAAAAAAAAGCTAAAAGCGCATTGGGTGGCCCAACTTTGATCAGATACTCTATGAGAGAGTATGGGAAATATTTTAGAAAATAGTTTAAAATATTTTAGACAAAAATATTAATATATTTTAGCCTAAAGTCTTGTTTTAAATGCACTGTCCGCGTGTCCGTTTGTCCGCTTGAAGCTTAGAACTTGTTCGCTAGTCAGTGTGCCCGCCAAGTCTCTCTATAAATAATCTTAAGACACAACTCTTAGGCTTTTAATATTATTATTTTTAAGATTTAATAACAAAACCTTGATAAATTCTATATTTTTTTATGAAAACCCCCCTAAAGAGCATCCAAACTTCGTCCTTAAGACAATCCCACCACTTAACTTCTGTAAAAAAAGATACCGTTTAATAGTCCCCTTTGTTTATACTTTCTCTATTCTGATATACATCTATCTCACTCTTTCTCTACGACTCTTTCCAGTCACCAGGAGTAGCCCAAAAATCAGAGCAACGATTAGAGCCAACTCTGGAATAATGGCATCGCCGAGCTGCCTTTTAACGGTTCTGGGGCTAACGGTGTTGGCGGCTTTGAGGGCCGACAGCCTGCCCATCACATCCCGGCCCATCGAGGGCCCCATACAGCGCATGGTGTGGGAGGATTGGGTGAATCTGGGACCCGAGGAGCAGGCACTTGTGGCCCATAAGAAGGTCACCGCCAAGTCGATATTCACGCTCCCCTTCCGCCACTGTCCGCCCCACCATACGCTCTACAACGAGCTCTGTATTCCCCAGAGCAACATCAATCCCAACCAGCTGATTGTCCAGGAGCTGATCCTGGCCGAGACCGGCAACGGAAAGCCACCGCCGGCCCCCATCGCCGACTACGATTACGGGGATGAGCCGGAGGAGAGCGATGAGGTGGCGTTCGATATTGGTGGCATACCGCCGTCAGCCATGGGCCCGTCATCCGGCCAGGATCAGGCCCTGCCCAGCGAGGATGCACCGCTGAAGTTTAACATTTTCGAGAAGAAATTCCCCACGGGAACGGGTGAACCCGACACGGACCTGCTGGGTGCCATTCCCCCGCCAGCTGTGCCTCCAGCTCCAAAAGCGAGCAATGCAACGACAACAACCACTCCTCCGCCTCCGGGCGATGGTCCAATGGATGGCAATCGCATAGCCAACGGCGACCTACAAGCCTCCTCCAGCAATGCCCTGGCCACAACGGCAACACTCACACTGCCCAGCAGCACCACTACTAGCACCACCACCAGCACTACTACCAGTCGCATTGACATTGGCAATGTGGAGGCCATTGTTTTGCCGGCGGATGGATCGTCGGTGCAGATGGTGACAGGTTCTTTGACCGACGACGACGACGACGATAGTGGCGACGAGGCGGATGCGAAAGCGAGTGCGACGCACAATCCGAATGCGGAGGCGGATCTGGCCCAGCTGCTCAAGGACGACGCCTTTGTCCCAGCCTACGAGGGCAGCATCGAGGTGCTCCAGCCTCCGTTCAGCCATCGCCGAGTGTCGCCCCCGCTGAGCGCCGTTCTGGATGTAAAGACGACCACCACCCAGCTGGAGGATGATATGGAGATAGAGGGCTCCTCGGAGGAAAGCGACGAAACAACCACCACCACCGACATAGTTCCAGTTTCGGGCGAGGAGGAAGTGGATGAAGGTTCGACAACAATTGCCACAGACGATGGAGACAACGACGACGATGAGACAACAGATATCGTGGAAAGCTCCTTAACGCCCACAACAATGGATCCTGAAACAACATCGTCGTCGTCGTTGTCGTCTTCTACTTTGCTTGTTCCAGACTTAGATGAAGGTAAAAATGGTCTTGTCTTGATAAAATCGAAAGTGCAACCGGTTCAGGTGACAACAACAACAACAACGACTGCTAGTACGAGTGCTAGTGTAACTGATGCCTATACCAGCTCGACTAGTGACCGGTTTCATTATCAGCATTTCGAAGATGTTGCTGCTACTAGCAGTACAACATCAGCAACACCAGCAACATCAACACCAGCAGAGTCAACTAGCAGCAGTAATAGCATCAGAAATGCAAGCCAACTGCTGGAGGAGAGTGACAATTTAATGACAAACACAATTGGTGAGGAGGATGGCCATAAAACGACAAGTGAAATTAATGTCCAACAAGAACTGAAGCTCATCAATGAGCTGGTGAAGAACAAGCGATTGTCGCAGATGCGCAAGCAACAAGACCAAGTAGCAACATCAACAGAAGCAACATCTAGCTCTCAGGCCTGGTCAAAGATAATGCCAGAACTAGCAACATCATCCACTACAGAGACAGCATTACCCGAAACTACAACAACAACATCACAAACAGCCACAACAACTTTAAGTATTAATAATCGTAGCAATAGAAATAGTAAAATAATTAGAGTAGAAACATCACCAACAGCAACAACAGCAACAGCAACATCAACTAAAGCAACACTAACCAGCAACAGCAACACCAGCGATGGCTATACACCCTTCTGGTGGCTACCGAATATCGGATGGCGTTTGGATCGCCAAGTCGATGGAAATGGTGAAGATCGCTCCTTGCTGCTGAGATTCTTTAGTACATTTCGTGGCAGCGATAGAACGCCAATGCGCTAAAATGTTGCAGCAGCAACAACCCAGCAGCAACACCATATAATCCTGCAATCCTGCTCCTTGCTCTTTCCCAAGAAAAGTAACCACAATAATTAGAGCAACTGGAGCCAGGAGTCTCTTTAAAAAAAAAATGTACACATTTGCTGTCAATTTCAATTTAAATGTTGAAGTTTGTTCACAGTCGTATCCACCACGTGTCCGAGTTATTATTTATTTTTTAATGTTTTTCCTTAATTACCTAATTTTTGGTTTTTTTTTTTAAATGTTTCATTAAAACGCGTTCTGATTGTAAATAATGTATTTTTTTGAGCAACAACTTTACTCCATTCTCCTAGACATCCTTGAGTGTTATTTAAAGTGCTTTTTTTTTTAAGTTGTTGATTTAATTTTAGTTGCAAGTCCCATACATATTTTTTTTTTTATATATATTAATAATAATTATTAAATGTTAGTTTTAGGTGCGTGTGCTGCTGGCGTTGTTGCTGCCGTTGCCTTAGCAATATTTAATTGTGATTATATAGGATATATAGTATAGGATATGTGTTAGGATGTAGGCCGCCTTCCAGGTTTCTAATCTTCTTCTATATTTTTTTTTTAAACTACCTTATTATCGAAATACTTATTATTACATTAAAATTATATATATTGTATTGTAAACGGTGTGTAAAGTAAAACAAAAATATATATATTGTTGTAGCTGTCTCTGTGTATATATTATACTTTCTAGTGCAAAGCCATTGAAATCGGAGCATTTTTTTTTTTAAAGAAACATGTATGTATGTTGCAAAGTAGCTGTTAAGCATAATATTTATACTAACCCATAAATCGAAAACTTAAGTTTAATGCATGTACATAGGTTAGATGGAGAAGCGTTTTGATTCGGCGATGGTAGGCCTTGTATGGCAAGCCAATATGTTTTTCTTAATATTGAAATTCAGCCAACAACCAAAGTTCTGAAGAAAAACAAATGCGAATACAAAAATTGTGGCATTTATTTTATTGGGAGGGCGGGGGAATGGGCATTCTTGGTGACTTAATAGCTGGCTGGCCAGACCAGAGTCTGTGGCATGGCCCACCCAGCTTTGTGGTAAGTTTCCAACTATGAATTGGGTGCGATTATGCGGGATTAAGTTGACTTTCGCAACTTGAAAGAGGGGAAGGACTAGGAACTCCTGGACAAACTCCAACCCGAAAACCCGAAAAACCCAAAAACTTGAATCCATTCAACTGTATAATGCCAAGTGCCACGCGACTGGAGAACTTTATAAAGATGCCGTTGCTCACCTCGGAAGTCTGGCTGTCCAACCTGTCCACCTGTCGCTTTGCAAATTGCCCAACGAAACGAACAAAAGGGACAAAGGCCAGGCCAGACTTCAACTTGAACCAAAAGTCCAACCAATTGGCCAACAGACGGTTGGACTTCTCCAGAAAGGTTCAATCATCTAAGAGTATGTTTTTTTTTTTTTCAAAAATCATAATACAAGCTTGTAAATAAAATAATTCTCAAGAATTTGCCACATTTTGTAGATGGTTCTGGAAAATGGCAATAGGAGAATTTAACATTTCCTTTTTATCCTTTTTTTTTGCAGGATGGTGGAATAAAATCATGTAAGCGTCTGTGTTTAACTTTCTGTGTTTGTATTTGTATCTGCATCTGTGTGTTTGCCTAACGAGCTGCATTAGTCCGCTGATTGCAAAGAGGGGAGGGGATGGGGGATGGCAGGGAAACACGCATCTTGTTTCCGGCCCGGAATATAAATATCACCTGCCATGATTTGCATGAGAAAACATACAGGCGCCATCTATGGGCCTAAAGAGGCAATTTAGTTTCTTTAAGCCATTTATGCTGCATACTTTTGGACATTTATTTCAAGATTTAATTTTAAAGGAGATTTTTAATGAAAATATATTTATTTTTAAGAGAAACAATAAAAGTCATTGCCAGCAATTGTAATAAGCCTTAAAATGTATGTATTTTTTTTGGAAAAATCATTATCATTAATCACTTGAATATATATTTGCATATATATATATGATTCACTTTCGTTGTTTTTTGGTTTTCTTTATGGCAGTAATTGGTTAAATGGAAAAGCATGAAGCAGTCAGGACTATTAAAACCTCAACAACTGTAAAGTGCTTGCCGTAAAAAAAAAGGACTCACAGGATACAGATACAGGCTGGCTGACTGGCAGGCAGAATGCCAAATGTCCTTTAAGCCAGCCGATGGCAAAAGGAAACTTTTGTTTATTTAACTATTAAGCAGGAGTGCACACAAGGACATACACACACACACACACAGACAGCACTTAAACGCCATGTTGTATCTGTAGTATGTATGTGTGTGTGCATAAAATATAAATGAAACGGCGCCTAATGCTTGGCAATACAAAGTCTCAATGTGTTGTGTGCAGTATTTTAGTTTTCAATGCCTGAGCTTTTATGCAAAGTAAACAAATCCACCCACTCACATCTCTAGAATACGCATCCCAGCCATACCATACATACATAATTTTTCAGTGTACATATTTGTGTTTGTATTTACCAGTTGAAGCATTAGCCATTGTCTGCCTAACAACAGAGAGCCCTAAACGCAGGGATGCCTAGCCGATTTATCGAAATAGTTATCGAACAAAATAAAAAAAGGAAAAAGCTCTCAGGTTCGACTACGCTATGAGTAAATATTTACATTTTTTTTGTTTTGTATTTTAGTTTTTAGGCATCTCTGTATCTCAATAAAGTACAGGCTTCAGTACAATCTGCTCAATGAATCTCAATAAGTTTATGGTGGCTTTATAGCTACATATGTGTGTGTGTGTATGAGTGTGTTTGTGTGGGTAATTGCACAAGTGGGAGTGAGTATATGTACGTGTGCTAAATCAAGCGGTAATTGGTTCTTCTCCCACCATTTTCAGTTGCTCGTAGTGGTTAGTGGGCTCTCGTCTTTGCCGTTGTTTATATAATTGAAACTAACGCAAATAAAGTGCAAAAGCTTTCTGATTATGGGGATTTGCGCCAGCCACAAAATGAGCACGGCTCAAGATGCCCCCCATGCCCCCACCACACACACACCCACACACACACAGTTGAACATAAGGATAAGGTAACCGAGGACAATGGGTAGTGTCCGCGTGTCCGCGAAATTGTCCGCTAGTTTAAAAAACTAGATCTCAAAGGTCTTGGGAGCTAGGACTTTGAAATTAACTATAGAGCACCTTTAATTTTTTAACTATTCTTTTCTAAAATTTCAATTTTATACAAATTTTTTCTTTCTGAATAAAACCTTTCATCCCACTGTACTTTCATCCATAAAAGCCAAGATTTGAGGATGTGGGTGTGTGTGTCTGTGCGCTTCCTTGATTACTGTATGTGTTCGTTTGCTTAGTTAAGCTGCTGTTAACTTAAGTATAACAATGATAAGGATAACACCAGGCGATTCGAATACAGATTCAGATTCAGATTCAGATCCTGACACAGACATCTTACCTTACACATGTTTGCACCTTATTTACCGACTAAGCCACTTTGCCGAAACTCACTTTACTTAAGTAATTGGAATGGCCATAAGATATCCAAGGCTTATGATATTTCAGTATCCATCGTATATCCCCTGGGGGGAGCTTTCAGATATCATCTCATTAGCATGGCTCAGTGCCTCCACTGGGAAAGTCCTCAAAGTGATCATTCAACTGAACTCTATAGCATTTAGTGATGAGACCAAAAATGCAAAATGTTAACTGCCTGTGTAACTCAACTCAATTAATGGCAATAATTGTGTAAACTGGCATACAAGTGCGAGGCTTAATTTTGTATTTCAAATGCGGTATGTAGGTTGGATGTCTGCCTGCCTGCCTTCCTGCCTGCGGCATCTCGTGGCATTCTAGAGCTACATATTTGTGCAACCTCATTTTTCCGCACCACTCTGCCGCAAAAGCATCTGCAAAATTTCCAAATTTCACCAATTTCGGCAATCGAGTATTGGAAAGTGAGTGGGTGGATGCATCCATAGTGACAGACAGAGATTGTTTAGGGGCGGAGTTGTTGGCAGCAATTAACCCATTACGATGACGGTCATGACGATGATAATGATGACGATGATGACGAGTCATGAATCATTTTTGGACCTCCCGCCACCAAACTGTCATATACCATCTGAGCCCTTTTTTTCCAGGTCAGTTTTTGGACCATTTGCAGTCATTGCTTTCGCGGCAGAGCTTTTTTAATTGGCCAGGGGGGACACTGGGGTAGGGGCGTGGCAGTGTATCCAAAGGATCTGTGGCCCTAACAAGCGTGTTGAGCCAGCCGCCTGTGTTTTGTGTAATTTGGGAGAAAAACCAAAGCCCTGCAATCTCGTAATGCCTCCACGTATTCATTCATTCCTGTTGTCCGGCCGGAAAAAGCCACGATGACCGTTGCCCCACTGACCCTTCTGCCCCTCTACCTCCTCCTTCTCCGGCCACTTGTCATAAATAAGCAGTGCAGCTTGCAACATCCTACAGACCTCCTACCTCCACTCTCCACTCTCCGCAATTCGTAATCCCTTGCTCGCACTTTCAATCCCAGGACTCTTGCATTGAACGAGCGAATTCAATTTAACGAGAAATTGCAACAATCACCGCCACTCCGGCCCTCCCTCCGGTTGTCCGCCTGCGATCCTGCCCTCCCTCCCTTGTACGGACATTCTGCGGACAGCCGGCAAATAAAAAAAAAAATGGCCAAAAAAAAAACAAACGTCCAGACAATGGCAAGGATTTCGAGCAACAGGAGCCGCGCCACCAATAAAAACAAGAAAAAGAGGGCCATAGCTGGTGGAAAGAGATGGCTGGTGCGAGAAGAAAGAGACAGCAAGATGGTGGGAGGGGGAAAAAGTCAGAGCCTGAAAAAGGCGGAGAGCTGAACCGCTGGCCAGCTTATGCCAACAATGTAATTTTGACGCTTGATCTCGACACAATTGCACACACATGCGTTTAAGCACTGAGAGAAAATTATAGACTATTTAAAATTTGAATTTTAAGAAAATTTTAAGAGAGAAAGGTGGAACTCTACTACTTTATAAATTAAATTATAAAAATACCAAAGAGGTTTGGAAGAGTATCTGGTTTTATATTTTTCTTCCTTGGGAGATATTTAGTTATAGGATTTTCTGGAATATTTTATTTATTTAATTGTTTATATTTTTATTCATTATTTAGTTAATGGATTTTTTCTCAGTGCTTTATCCCCAAAAGAAGCCACTGCAAAATGGCAAATGGAAAACGCGTCGAAACAAAAAATAAGAAAGTGGAAAAACAAGCTACCAAAAAAACCTCCGCTAGATAATGGACACCGTGGAATTTTTGTGGAATTTCTAGAGAAAAAATCAAGCAGAATAAGAGTTACTCTACCTAGAAGCTTAATAGTATATAGTTATAAAAAAAAAAAATTATAGAAATAAAATAGAAATTAAATAAATTAGTAATACCACTATGATTGGTATATAAGACCCTTTTGGCTACTAAGATATTGTAACAAGTCCCTAGGTCTAACTACATAAGACTATAGAATCTATTAAAAAAAAATAAAATAACCTCTTTAAAATAATTACTAATAATGGAATATAATAATAAACTATAACCCCTATAATACAGCCTTTTATACCCTTCCAGAAGACTCTGTGTTTTTGTAAAGTCTCTCATCTTTTTTTGTAGCGTTTTTTTTTATGAGTTTTTCACGCGTTTTTCGTGCGACTTCTGTGTGTTGCATTATTACTGCCCCCCTGCGCCCTCACCCTCCTGGCCACAGGTCACTCTACCCCACTCCCCCGCTTCTTGTACAGTACCCTTTAACCCGCAAAAGCCTCATAATATTTCATGGCTGTTGCAGATTGTTGACATTTCGGCTGCTCTGCACCTTCGGGCTTCACTCCCCCTTCATTTTTTGTTGGCTTTTTTTTTTGTAGCTTTGTTTATGTTTTTTATGAGCCTTTCTTTCTTTTTTTTTTTTTTTTTTGTGTCGTAGTTGTTTCGATTATGCGGCAAGCAGGGGCGTAGTTTTGGGTGGGCGGGAGTTTAAAGGGACTTTCGCAGAGAAACCACCCGCACCACCCACACGGACTTGCTTCATGCCACCATCCGCACTGCAGCGGATGCAAATAAACGCGGCCAACAGAGGGGGTGAAGGTGGGGGGATTCTTGTGGGTGGAATAGGAGGGGGAGTCCCTGGTTTAGCTGCATCCGCAGTCGCGTGCAAACAGGATAAAACGCGCATCTGTCGCAGTGTCCATCACCATCACCATCATCATCCTCGATGTCCTTTCGTCCTCATCCTCATCCTCATCGTCGTCCTCTGCCTCGTCCTCATCCCTGTCACCGTCCTCATCATCATCATCAGGATGTTGCAACGGACATGTCCCTGTTTTAGATGTGAGTTCTTGGGAAAAGTGAGGCAAAAACGCGAGAAAATCGCGAAAAGCGATGAAAAGCGTAGGATGCGCCGCTGAAAAGGGTGCAGCACTAAGCCCGGCCAGAGAAATTATTTTTAGAAACAATGGCGTGGCGGTTTAATTAATTTCCGGTCAATTTAAACTCATTGTTGAGCATTTCAAAAGGTCATAGCCTTTCAGGGATGTCAGTTTCTTTCAGAATGTCATATTATATAAGAAATAAGTTACGAGGTCCATGGAAAAAAATTTTAAAAAAATAGCAAACGACAATTTTAATTATAGATTTTGTTGCAGAATAAAAGAATATTTATTGAGAAATATTTTAAAGCCCTTCCCTTGAGAATCGGATAGGAATGTACCAATATATAGACTTCCCAGAGGGTCATACCCCAAAATCGCACTTTCTGCAGGGGTCTCCCCAGGAAAAATATGAAAAAAATCGAAAAAATATTTTGTTGTCAGGTTTTGATGCAGATTGGTGGAGAATCGATCCACAAATCGTTTAAGGTACTCCCGGATAGAATCGGATAAGAATTGGCCGAGATATGGCCTTCCCAGGGGGTCATACCCCAAAATCGCACTTTCTGCAGGGGTCTCCCTAGGAAAAATATGAAAAAAATCGAAAAAATATTTTGTTGTCAGATTTTGATGCAGATTTATGGAGAATCGATCCACAAATCGTTTAAGGTACTCCTCGCAAGAATCGGATGACCCTAGGGGGTTATATCCCAAAATCCCCTCCAGAATCGTAGCAGGTTCGGCCAAGATCTACACATACATGCCACACCATTACCTGGGAATCCCAAAAATGGAAACCTAGTAGCCCAGCGGACAGCCATCTGAAACTATCATTGCCTGTCCGTTCAATATTCACATTCACACAAGAACACAAAACAGCACGAAAGAAGAGTCCCTGCTAGGATACGGGAATCGGGTAACCCCATAGGACACACCCTAAGGACTAACTTGCGAAGGTCCTTGAGGCCAACTTTGAGGATGAATGCCGCCGTGTGCGTGGTGGTGACAGTGCCCAACGAGACGGAGGAGCTGCGTCTGAATCCGAGGTCATGCTCCTGCTGCGGCGGGAGCCTGGCGGCCAAAAGAATCTCGGAACTGGGCGTGGAGCTCTGTGAGCGCTGCTGGCGCCTAGAGAATATAGCGGCCAGCGATGGGGACTTGTCCCTGGCATCGATGTCCTTTCAGCAGCCGCTCCCGGCCCGTCCCCATCACCCACTGCCGCCCAGGTCGCAGAGCCGATCCTTGGAAATGCCGTATCTGAAGACCAACTCCACCTTGGAGCACGTTCTGCGGGCGATAGTGGACGAGCTGCGCCTGGACGATGTCTTTTGGGCGCAGGACCTGGAGGGTAAGCAGTTGCAGGCCCGGTTCTACATGCGCCAGGACGAGAATTACGAGAAGCTCCTGTACACCCTGCAGGAGTGGGGCGTGGGCGAGCGACCGGGCACCCAGGTCTCTGCCCAGCTCTGCCTGGAGACCAGAGCCAAGCCCATGCCGCCTTCCTACAAGGATGACGGCCAGCCACTGTTCCAGGACAAGGATCAGGAGCAGGGCCAGGGCTGGCAGAACTTCATGGACTCGGTGCGCTGCCGGTTGAATGTGAATCAGGTGGTGCGACAGGTGAGGCGTGATGCCACCTTGACCTTTGACTTTGTGGTGCTCCTGATTGCCGCCGCCCTGCTCTCCTGCGTCGGCCTGGTGGAGAACAGTTTTCTATTCCTCTCCAGCTCTATGCTGATATCGCCCCTCATGGGCCCCATCATCGCGGCCATTTTCGGGTCGGTCATCGGGGACAAGGAGCTGAGGTACCTGGGCCTCAAGAACGAGCTCATCGGGATTGGTGTCTCTGTGGGCATTGGCTTCCTCTTCGGAGGCATCGTCTGTGGATTCGGCCACTTCTTTGCCATCTCCACCGGCCTCACCGAGGAGATCGTCTCCCGGTGCGACACCCACTCCCTGGCCATCGGCATCTGCACCGCCCTGGCCTCGGGGGCAGCGGGCGCCATCGCCGTGCTGGGCGGCAATACAGGCTCCCTTGTGGGCGTGGCCATATCCGCCTCCCTGCTGCCACCGGCCGTGAACGCCGGTCTGCTCTGGGCCCTGTCCATTGGCACGCACCTCCTGCCACCCAACCACGAGTTGCTGGTGAGTCTGACGAAGCACAGGACCTACTCCACGGACCTGTCGGTTGAGCTGCTGGTCTGTGCGACCGTCAGCATGGCCCTGACGCTCCTGAACATCGTCTGTGTCTGGCTGATGGGTGTGGTGGTGCTGAGGATCAAGGAAGTGGCTCCCGCTGTCCAAAGGCATCACCAGTTCTGGCGGCACGACGTCCGCACGGCCCGCGAGGTGGCCCACCTGGATCCCGACCTGCAGGACGCCATCGATAAGCTGGACGAGAGCCAGCTGGACCTGGAGGCGCCGCACTACCAGCACACCTGGTCACCGGGCATGGACCATCCGCGGCGGATGTCCCATTCGGGCGGCACCAGTCGCAGTGCCACTCTGGCGGCCAGGGAACAGCCGAACAACTATCACACTGTGCACGGTTTCAAGGAGTTCTGTGTCACCCTGCACCGCCAGAAGGCCGTGAAGAAGGAGCCGCGGAGGCCCCTGAGCATCATGGAGCTATTCTCCCCCCAAACGGAGCCCAGTTCTGGTCCCACCACCAACACTACCCCCCACACGAACACCACCACAACCACCGGATGCAGTGACTTCAGTAGCTGCCGAAGTCTTCCAGACATCAGTAGTCTCTCAATGCTGTGCCCCCAACCCAGTGAACCGAGTCTCCCCAGAAGCTCGAGTCCAGAACGCCAAACCGGCCACAAGGATCGCGGCAATAGAACCGTCCACTGGCCCGAGGAGCAGCCCGAACGAAACAGCGATCCACCCCGTAGACATGAAGGTATGGCCAGCCGGGGCTATAGTCCTAAAAGGAAGCCCGGTCAGGTGCTAATACCACTACCCAGCTTGGAACAGTACAGTCCTTTGGAACCATTAGCTGACCAACTACTCCTGCTCCGCACCGAATCCGGGGCAGTTAGCCTGGAAATAGAGCCCGAGGGTGATGAGTTTCAGGTTTAAAGAAACTCGAAGCCGATGGGTGCTTCGAGCAGCGCAAATATTCAGGACACCATTCGGTTGGATATTCAGGAGTTTTTTTTGGTAGCGCCTGAAGGTCCGTGTCCAGCTTTGATTACTCGACGATCCGGCGGCCATGTTCTTGTTTGCCCACCACTCCAAGTCCTGGCCGCCAGCCACCACACACACACACACACGCAAACACACAGAAAAAAAAGGACACCAACGCGGTCGACACAAAAAAAAAAAAATGTACATTTTCCAAAAGGTTTATACCTTGGGCAGAGTATTATTCAAATATATATATACATGTTGTTTAAAAAAATATCAATACTTCTTGGAGTTTTTAATGAAAAATATTTAATAAAAAAAAAAATATATATTGTAGCAGGATTGCTACTTAGGGTATATATATATTAGCTATAAGTGTATTGTATAACTGTAAACTATTAGTGTAAGTCGGTGTCGTTGGCTGTTGTCGGTTCTGGCTCTCTCTCTCTCGTGCTCCCATCGCTCTCATTGCTCTCTCAGCGAGCAATGAGGGTTGATGCTGATCACGAGTTGAGAGCGGAGTCAGTCGAACACCAGCAGCGATCCGAAGCGGATCTAGTCAATAATAAATAAACTAGAATAAGGAAAGTGTTGGTGTTTTACTCCAGGGACATTGTTATATCCCTACAAAATCAGAAGTGGGCCGATCTCGTGCCAAATAAACAGTTAATGACAATTAATTATAATCAAAATGGATGTTAGCAACGCATCAATTGCGCAATTAAAACGGTGGTTAAGTGCGTTACGGCTACCAACAACGGGAACGAAGAGCGAATTAATATTACGTTTGGATAAAATGTCAACGGAAACGCGTAATTATCTGGAAGCAATTAGGAATCAAGACGAAGACGGCGATGGAAACAACGATAAAGACGAATATGAAGAGGATCTGGAATTAGAAAGCCAAGAAAATGACAACGATAATGGCGACGAAGACAGAGGCAACAACAACGACAAAGCTGGAGTCCAAGAAAACGAAAAAGTCAGAGGCGAAGGAAACGACAAACACGAAGGTGGAACTAAAGGAAAAGATGGTGATAAAAATAAGAGTAAAGTTGGCGGCGATCAAAGCGGAAAGGACGTAGACAGAAGAAACAGCAAAAATGGAGGCGAGAGCAGCAGCAAAGACGGCGGCGAAAACAGCAGCAGCGATGGCGGCAGAAACAATGACCACGACGGCGGCGAAAACAACAACAGCGATGGCGGCAGAAACAACGATCACGACGGCGACGAAAACAACAACAGCGACGGCGGCGAGGGAGAAGACAAAGATGGAGATCATGCACGCAATGACAGGAATGAAACCGGCAGAAGCGGCGCAAAAGAAGGCGCCACTGAAGAAGTGAAAAGAGGCAACGTTGCAAAGTCGGAGTTTTTGGAATTTCACAACCCAAGCATCGACATTGCATTGGGCATGGCAACACAAGTTGTGAGTGATTTTTCGGGCAAAACTTGCGCACGAAAATGGATTACGCAAATGAAAAATATTGCAAGCATTTATGGAGTTAGTGGAAAATACATTAAAATGCTGATGATTAGTAAAATCAAAGGAAAGGCAAACGTGTGGCTACATGCGAACCCTGACCGCATCATGCTACAGCTGGAGGAGTTAACCGGTGAGCTAATTTCAATGTTTTCGGACAAAGTTTCGAGGTTAGAAGCAAGGCGTCAATTCGAGAACCGGAAATGGAGTTCCGGTGAAAGTTTTGGAAGTTACGTGGACGATAAAGTGATGCTTGGCCAGAGAATCGACATAGATACAGAGGAGATGATAAGTCGTATCATTGAAGGAATCCCTAATCAAGGGCTTCAAAATCAGGCACATATTCAGTGCTTTGAAAATATTGCACACATCAAACGTGCATTTGCGGAGGTGAAGTTGCCTAAATATAATGGTGACAAAAAGGATGCAACAGAGAACAAGAACGAGAAGGACAGCAAGGACACGCGTTGCTATAATTGCAATGCTAAAGGACATTGGGCGAAGGAGTGCAGGAAGCCAAGACGAGAGAAAGGATCGTGCTATGCGTGTGGCGAGATGGGACATTTTGTGGCGAAGTGCCTAAAGAACAAAGTTAAGAGCGAGGTCAAGAACATTTATGTAAGGTATTTTGAAATTTACTTTAAGAATAACACTAACACCAGACTAATTACACAATGCCTCATAGATACAGGGAGCCCAATTTCGTTTATCAAAATATCTAAAGTACCAGAAAATATTTGTAAAATGCCAGTTTTAAGTTCATATCATGGAATAAATGAAAGTTATTTGAAAACTTATGGCAGAATATTATGTTATATAAAGAAAAAATTTAATAAAGTACATTTTCATTTAGTTGTTGTGGCAAACAAATCTATGAGTCATGATGTAGTTCTGGGAAGAGATTTTATGGAAGCATGTGATTTGAATCTGAACCTTGACACCTTGAAGATGGTTACGGTAGAAAATTTAGAAAATGTTAAAGACAGTTATGATGTTAGTGATGAAGAGCAAATAGTTAGTGATGTTAATGTTAAACAAAAGATTAGAAATGCAGTTAGGTTACAAGAAGCAACGAAATTCGACATAAATGAAGTGGAAAAAGAATTGATGAATATTAATATTGAAGATGAATCGGTAGAATACAAAATTGGTGAACAAGTTGAGTATAAGGTTAGACAGCAATTTATTAAAATTATAGAAAATTTTTATGTCAATAAACAAAGACCAAGGGAACCAGAGGTTAAGTGTGAAATAAAGCTGAGGTTGGAGGACTCGAAACCTTTTAGTAGTTCTCCGAGACGGTTAGCGTATACAGAGAGAGAAAAGTTACAGAGCATATTAGACGAGTATTTAAAAGAGGGAATTATTAGGCCGAGCGAATCAGAATATGCATCTCCAATAGTGTTAGTCAAGAAAAAAACAGGTGATTTGCGATTATGTGTGGATTACAGAAAGCTTAACAAGACAATGATTAAAGATAATTATCCACTACCTTTAATTGATGATTTATTGGACACATTAGTAAATAAGACAATATTTTCGAAATTAGACCTTAAACATGGATACTTTCATGTATTTGTTGAGAAAGAATCAATTAAATATACTTCATTTATGACGCCGTTAGGACAGTTCGAATTTATGCGGATGCCAATGGGCCTAAAAAACGCACCGGCGGTGTTTCAAAGATTTATCAATAAGATTTTTGCAGACATGATAAGAGAAGGAAAAGTGGTTATATACATGGACGATATTATGATCGCAAGTAAAGAAATTGAAGAGCATTTGAGTGTACTAAAAGAAGTTTTCGAAAGATTAGCAAGGAACAAATTAGAACTAAGAATGGATAAATGTGAGTTTTTACAAGCGAGTGTTCAGTACTTAGGGTTTTTGGTGTCGAGCAAAGGAATACAAGCAAACGATAAAGGAATTGAAGCCATCAGAGATTTTCCAGTCCCCAATAAAGTGCATGGAGTTAGAAGCTTTTTAGGATTGTGTTCATATTTTAGAAGATTCATAAAGGATTTTTCGAGGATTGCAAAACCATTATATGATTTGTTGAAAAAGATTGCGAATTCGTGTTTGAAGAAAAAGAGTTAGATTGTTTTGAAATGCTAAAGAAGAAACTCATAGAAGCACCGGTATTAGGTTTATATTATTATAAGGATGAAGTAGAACTACATACAGACGCAAGTGCACATGGTTTTGGTGCAGTACTATTACAGAGGAAAGAGGATAAGAAATTGCATCCTATATTTTATTTTTCCAAAGCTACAACGAAGGATGAAGCAAAATATCATAGCTTTGAACTTGAAACGTTAGCCATTATTTATGCTCTACGAAGGTTCCGAATTTATGTGCAAGGTAGGCGGTTTAGAATTGTTACTGATTGTAATTCATTGACATTGACGTTAAACAGAATAGAACTTAACCCTCGCATTGCGAGGTGGGCTTTAGAGTTACTTGAATATGATTTTGAGTTAGTTCATAAGGCAGGAAAGCTTATGCAACATGTAGATGCCTTAAGTAGGAATACGAACATATGTGTAGTAGAAACGGTGAATTTTGAAGACAATTTAGTTATATGCCAAGCGAAAGATGAAAAGTTAAAGAAAATTAGAATGAGGTTAGAAAAAGAAGATGACAAAATGTTTGAGATGAGAAATGGAGTAGTGTATAGGAAAGCAAATGATGGAAAATTGTTGTTTTATGTTCCAGAAGAAATGGAAGACAAGATACTGTATAAATATCACAATGAGTTAGGTCACTTAGGTAGAGATAAGGTTATGGATGCAATTGTTAGGACGTATTGGTTTGCAAATATGAAAGAGAAAGTTGTTAGGCATATTGATAATTGTTTGAGGTGTGTAGCGTTTTCACCAAAGTCAGGAAAAGGAGAAGGATTATTACACAGCATTCCGAAAGGGAATGTACCATTTGAGATCATACATATTGATCACTACGGGCCAGTGGATAAGGGAAGGGCAAATAAACATCTTTTTGTCGTCATAGACGGGTTTACAAAATATGTTAGGTTATATGCAACAAAAACAACAAATACAAAGGAAGTTATTATAGCATTGAAAGATTATTTTAGATCATATAGTAGACCGACGTGTATCGTCTCGGATAGGGGCAGTTGTTTCACATCTGAGGATTTTCAAAAATTTCTCGAAGAATATAATGTTAAGCACGTAAAAATAGCAACAGGGTCACCTCAAGCTAATGGGCAGGTGGAAAGAATTAATCGAATATTAGGACCGATGATAGCAAAATTGGCAGACTCAGAAAAGGGATTGCATTGGGATACAGTTATTGAGGATGTTGAGTTTTCATTGAACAATACAAAGCAGAGAAGCATTGAGCAAATGCCGAGCAAAATGTTATTTGGAATTGCACAAAAGGAAAAATTATAGATGAATTAAGGCAAAAGTTAGAAGAATTAGATAATACTGATAATGTTAGGAATTTAGACGAAATTAGGAAAAAGGAACAGAGTGTCAAACAAAGTTGCAGAAAGACAATGAAAGAAATTACAATGAAAAAAGGAAAGCGAGTTCAAAATACAAGGTAGGAGATTATATCGTGGTTAAGAATTTTGATTGTACTGTTGGAGTTGCAAGAAAGTTAATACCCAAACATAAGGGTCCATTTGTAATAGACAAAATTTTAGGAAATGACAGGTATTTAATTAAGGATGTTGAAGGTTTTCAATTGTCACGTATTCCATATCAAGGTGTTTGGAGTAGTCAGAACATTAAACATTGGATAGGTAAACGAAGATAAAGCTCAAATATTATGTAAACTTTTGTAAATAAATAATTAGTAGTATCTAAGTCAAATAGATGTAAGAATCAATTGTAAAATATCACAAGATCAGGGGATCTTTAAATGTCAGGACGGCCGAATTGTAGCAGGATTGCTACTTAGGGTATATATATATTAGCTATAAGTGTATTGTATAACTGTAAACTATTAGTGTAAGTCGGTGTCGTTGGCTGTTGTCGGTTCTGGCTCTCTCTCTCTCGTGCTCCCATCGCTCTCATTGCTCTCTCAGCGAGCAATGAGGGTTGATGCTGATCACGAGTTGAGAGCGGAGTCAGTCGAACACCAGCAGCGATCCGAAGCGGATCTAGTCAATAATAAATAAACTAGAATAAGGAAAGTGTTGGTGTTTTACTCCAGGGACATTGTTATATCCCTACAATATTTAATTAAGTTTCTAGTTATTCTGGTTATTCCTCCCTTTAAGCCAAAAGTAACTGAATCACGGTTCACTGTCCACTGACTTGGTTGGCTTCAATTGGCACCAGACCAGAAAAAATCAAATAAAATCAAAAAAAAAAAGAAAAAATATAAGGATACCGTGCCGAAAGAGTGACCAGAGTGGCCAGCAATCTGCTTTCGTGGTAAGTGAATTAAGCGAAACATTCTCCAGCCAACCCGGGGGCCAGGTTAAAGGTTACAGAAATGTGTGCAAGGGGGAATCGAATTAAACTGGAAAACTGAAAGACAAGGATGTTTAAAAAAAAGAGAAAATAAAGGACCTCTTGCAACTATCACCATGACCAGAGTTTAGACTGGCTGGGCTTTAAGCCATTTCTTGGTAATGAAGTTTTATTGACGTTTTTAGGCCGCTTTCGATTCGATTACGAGCACTTCCTTGGATTGATTGTTTTATCGTTCCACTTCCCTCTTTTTTTTTTGTGTTGGCCATTTTAAGTGTTATTATCCTTGATGTGTGATGTCCTTTCGTTCGTTGTTTCCTGCCGCCCATTAGATGGTAACAACAATTACGTGTTGCGCTTTTATTGTGGCCAACTGGTTTCTCCTTCTACTTCTGGTATGCATCCTTTTTTGCGAGGAAGAAGTGCGAAAAAAAAAGGATACGAGCCACGTGTGATTGCCCTTTGATGTGGCCTGTTGTTATTGCTGTTTCTCTAGTCCTAGTCCTGTTGCTGTTGTCTTTTCTCTAATGTTTATTTGCCATTTGAACGGGTCCTTTGCACCTATCCAGCTATCCTTTTGCCCAACTGCCCAACTACCCAACTGCCCACCTGCCTGCCTTGTTTGTCCTGGCCAAGTGCGACATTTGGCATGTCCACGCAATTAGCACCCTTGTCCGGTCCTTGCTTTCTACCTATTACTGCCACCTCCATCTCTGTCTAGGTCTGTGCCACGCCCACACGTCCTTGCAGCCCTCGCCCTCGATTAACTCATTTTCACCAGGACCCGTGTCCGCTAACGAGGCCACATTTGTCCAGCCATCGAGGACTATCGAGGGTCCAAGTCAAAACAAACCAAAATGTGCACTTGAAAAAATCCGAAACCTACACATAGACATATCCAATAAACCCAAAAGGATTGTAGATGTCCTTTTTTTCTCAGTGTTTAGACCTAATTTCAAGTACCGCTCTGGATCGTATAACTTTATGATAGCCTCTTCGCTCTAATGGCAGTGTGAGAACTGACCCGGTCATTAAGGACAACCAACAAACAGTTAAGTGAGATTGTAAAACACTTCAAGTTCAAGTCCTTTAAAATTAAGGACAAAAACAACAACAAAAAATACTAAAAACTAAGCCAGGACATGGGGGTATTGTCAGATTACTCGGTTGCTC